GCTGGGTGCAGAATGCATATTCAGGCTGCTCTGAAATCAGAAGAGAAAATTAACGCGCCATAGCTTTTTACAAGCAGTGGCCATGCTAATCAGTGAGCGAGGACGTTTGCCTCCGCCAGCACGTACGTAGGAAGCAGATCCCCAAAAAGACAACTCCGAGGCCGGGGCCGTGCCCCTTTTCTCCACTGAGTCAGCAAAAATGGCTCATCTTCTCGTGGAAATGTTAGGGGAACAGGCTGTCCTGAAGGAACGCTGCAGATACAGGTTTTGTGGACTCCACCCCCAGCCCAGACGCCCGGAATTATGAAGCTCATCAGCACCAAAGGGAGGACTGCTGGGACCTGAGGGTGGAGGTTAGCATCAAGGTTGATATTAAACCCGACATGTGGGCCTTTGGGGGTCTCTTGGCTTGTGGCTTGTCTCTTGGTTTTTTGCCAGCTGTCAGCATGCTATTAAAGTTCCATGTCAGAGGAACTGATAGCACACACTAACCAACTTATCTCTCTCTCTTTTTCCCTGAGTTATTCATTTCCTTTTCTTTTGTAAATAAACCCATTATTAACCTTTCTGTGTGTGCCTGCAGTTGAATCTTATTCTAAGTTCCTTTAAGCACATGGTGAGGACCCACAGTCAGGCAACCCAACTCACATTTGGGTTGCCCTGTAACAAAGAGTTCAGACGGGTAGAGGGCCAGGCCTGCAGGACTTGCTCTTGCCTGGCAGGTTTCCTGTGTGTTAATAAGGCTGTTTCACCCACCTGGGGCACTGGCCATGCTGTGCCAGCTCACCACGACTGCCTGCACAATGTGGTTTATGGTGAATACCTTCTCTTCTGGGAACCTGGAATTTCAATCGCATGGCTGGGCGTCCTTGTAACTAATCCCTCACAAAGTCCCTGGCCTGGGAGCTTTAGGTGTTTCCCCAGCTGCGCTTCACTGCGAGAGGAAGACATGTGCTTTGTGCAGTCTCTCCCCGCTCCCCAGCAAGGAGAACTTTGGAAACCTCGATTCCTCCAGGCGCCAACGGATGTTTTTCCCTGCTCTCTATCCTTTTGCTGTAATAAGCCATGGCCATGAGGACAACATCCTGTGTCCTGAGAGTCTAGAAAGCCACACATGGATGGGTCTTCATGAAACCCTGCACCACAGGGTTTACTCTACAGAACAATCAACCAGGTGGGCAAAGATAACTGTATGTAGGTGGCTATTTCAGTAGTTTCTGTGACAGCAAAATGACAATGACCTAAATGCTGTCCAATAATCTAGAAACCTGATGATGCAGAGGGTGGTCCATCACATGATGGAATCCTTTGTGACCGCTAAAATGATGCTGTTGTTTAGAACTTTATAAAGGTTGGTCCTCTTAAGTGCTGTTCCTTTGGTTCTAGTCAGACATGTTTGGGGGAAAATCTGGGGTGACAAAGGTAAAGTATTTCTTTACTGCTACAAAACCCAGGGGCAGAACACCGGCTATGCTGGGCTGGTGT